TTTTAATACTTTGAAGAAGTATAGAATGGCAAAAGGAAGACTTTGTGAATTGGGCATTAAGCAAGGGGAAGGATATTAACATTGGGCATTAAGCAAGGGGGAGGTTACTAATATTGCACATTGCTCACGTTGGCTTCGCACGTTTTGTCATCATCAAAAAGGGGGAGTATGTGAGGGTAAATCCTCGTGTACCATACATACTTGGGTTTCAATAATGACAAAACACAATCATGGATGAATCGGTCCTTCGACTCTACCACCACAAGGCAAATGCATATCACATCTTTCATATCCTTCTTATGCCCATCTAACTTTCCATATTAAGATTCAATATAGGTGGAAGATCATTGGTCATGCCTGGAAGCACAAAATCCACAAAAACAAGCATTTGTGCAGATCTGCGGGCTTTGAGTCGACCACAGGTCGACGCATGGTCAGCGCATAGAGTAGTGCAATTTCCCACGGGTCGGCGCACGCTGACCTATGGTCGACGCATGTTGTTAAGATTTTGAATCTGCCTAAAACTGCAGGCTATGCATCAATGCATAGTCCTACTATGGTCGACCGTTCGCTCGTTTATGCTGTTGCTGAAGACTTTCCACTTTTCTTGAAAAGTGGTTAAGTCTATTGGTTCTTGCTTACTATATATAGTAGTTTTCTGTTCTTTTCTCATTAACAATTGAAAACATTAAGTCAATTGCACAAGAACAAGAAAAGTGAAATAGGTGCCCTAGTTCTCTCTTCATATTCATCCTCAACATTTTACAACACAACAATTACACACAATAATTTTTGTTGTGCACTGTGGTCTGTTCAAGGTGATAACGTCCGAAGCCATCGATTGGAAATCAGGTTCGGGTTGAGTTTGGGGTAGGTTTTTCTTGAATAAAACCTTGAAGGTTTTTCCCTCCAAGATTCGTCGAATTTGGGGGGTTTTGGTACGAATCGTCTCTACAACATTTAGCTAAGCGAAGGTGATTGAGGAATGACGTGTTCGGTCAATCTAGTAGCGGTAATCGGTGAATTGCGTAGGAGAGATTCAGGTTCGATTTGTTGGTGTTTGAGATCAGCCGCGCCGAGGGTTTGAAGAACGCAAGGTTATTCAACAAAGGGGCTGTAATCGGAGGTCTATTCACAACAATCGGAGGACTTGATTCAACTTGAATCAAGGAACAAGGAGAGAAAGCATCATCAACAACCAGAGATTTTGTTTGTATATTTTGCTTGTCTATCCTTGTATAAACGTTTCAAGTCTAGAAGTGATATCTATATTATATCGAGCTCAATTCTAGTTTTAGAATTGAGGGCGGACGTACCCCAAAGCGAGAACGGCGGGGGAACTGCCTTAACAAATCTTTGTCTCCTTTACTTTTCAGCACTTTCTTTTTTGCTTGATAATTGAGTAATTTTAGTATAAGCAAATTTATCAAGTTAGCATTTGTTTGAGTAAGGGATTGACACTGTTTTTAACTCTAGTATAATAGTGTATTGTACAAGGAAGCTAGAGTCACTTACTCAAGACAAAACTCACTTGGAGTGCCTCGCACACCAAGTGTTTGATAAATTGCCTACACGAAAATTCACTTGTATTGTTTACATATTTTGGTTGGCATTGTGTAGCATTGGAACTAGTCTTACTAATTAGTGATATTAATCAATTGATAGGGTGACTAGTGTGGTGATTCTATTTGCTCATTATCATTTCCATAAGGCTAGACGCATATCCGGTCTTCTAATAACGATTCGTTATAGACGGTATTTTTCCATGGCCGCTTTCGCAAATCAAATATTTTTAAAACCAATTTTTAATTGGTAGCGCCGATTGATTTTTTTAATTGGGATCTATTCAACCCCCTTCTAGATTCGTGCCATCGTCTAACACTATCATCACTCTCACATCCACTTTCCATCTCTTCACTCTCGTTATCACTCCTTTTAAATTCTTTTTTGTCTTCTTCCCACTTTTCTTTATGTTTTTTTTTTGCTTTTTACCTCTTCATCATGTTCATGGGCAGTTAGATTATCAATTTCACCTTCCTCAAAAATCATCATAGTCATCAGAGTCATCCTCAAAAGCTACTTCCATAACACTATCATAATTGAAGTTGTCATCAGAACTTACATCATCATGCACCTCACCACCCACATTTACATCATCATGCACCTCATCACCTACACTTACATTAACATCACCAACCAATATATCATCAATTTTCTTCAACTCAACTTCCTTCAACTCATCTTCCCGACTAATTACTTATTCGTACATTTTAGCAAGCAATTAGTCCTCCTCATTTAAAATTTCATCATTATCTACTTCTATATCATCAACAGGACCCTTATAATGATCAGGCTGAGATAATGTGTGTTGAATATAGATATCAACACTTAGATGCACCCTATAAAGATCAGCAATTTCTAACGCACCTTTATCATCAACCAAAATATCCATTCCAAATGTGGGGTCCTTGTAATATATTGTCTCAATTTCCTTATAACCTAACTCCTTCGATACACCTACCAACTCAAAAAAAAACTCCACTTGTCAACATCTATTTTCAAATCATCAACTAGTCATCATCCATACACACTTAATTCATCATCAATGAATTCACCATTTGATGAATTCTTAGATGTAAATGTTCGTCCATTTTGACCTATTCAAATCAATTTTGAAATTAAATTGTGCTCCAATACAGACACAAATAAAATTTGAAAAAGACAAAGCCCTAAAAACTAATACTTTTTTGAAACTCTAAACATTAAACAGTTAAAAAGACAAAGCCCTAGTAACTTGTATTCAACAATAGTGTCTTCAATGGCGTACGCACTTCCCTTCTTTGATATTGCCTTCGATTTCGCCTTCAAACAAGCTTTCGATTTTGCAAATCATCTCCTTTCCTCCTCGCCTTCACAATGTTTCTCTCTGATTTCGCCTTCAAACAAGCTTTCGATTTTGCAAATCGTCTCCTCTCCTCCCTGTCTTCGCAATGTTTCTCACATAGGGTTTGTTCAATATTCCTTTGTGATTTTTGATTCGTAAATGATTTCTAAATATTTCCTTTGAAATTCTTTTTTATTATAATGTTACTTCCACATAAGCGCCATGTCTATGTCAACTGGGCCATTTTTTGACTTTGACTAACGAACCTAAAAGAAATGACTAACGTGTCATTGTTTTAAGAGTTAAAAGGTAAATTCAAACTTTTAAAACTTAAGGGAGAAAATTGGATCCAGAGGTAATGTTAAGAGACCAAAAATAATATTTTTTTCTTTTATTTACGTTATTGTTTTGGACGTTCCACAAGTTTATACTTAACAACACACTTTATTCTCCAGGCTCCATTGAATCTGCTCCGCTCTGATTTTTTACGGGATAAGACTATAATTTTGGCTTGCCCTCTTTACTATGTTCGCTCCATCCTAAGTTTTTTCGGGCATTTGTCGAGGTGGATTTAAACACGAAACAGATGAGAATTTGTTACTTCTATTTAGATATATTTATTTTCAAAAGTTATAAAGAAAATGATGAAATACATCTTGAATATATTTTTAAATTTTTTTTATTAAAGTGAAAATAAAATAATTTTTCTTTTAAGGAATTAAACGTATTTATTTTTTCATAAGTGCTTCTAAGATGATGAAATAATGCAAAGATATTTAACTATTAAAAATAAAATGCAAGTTTAGAACCACAACACATTTTTTTCTCTAAATTTATTGCATGGGAAAAATCTTAATTTCTTTTTAAAGAAAACTTTTACGAAAAAGATATGTATCGATAGACTGTTTTGTTTGACAGAAATTTTTTACATGGATATTTTTCCATGATAGAAAATATATTCATTTTAATCTCCATATTTTATGTATAATATTATTATATATTATTGATCTTATTTAATTATTTTCAGATTCATAATCATCTCAGAAATATACTAATAACACCAAGGACACCATTTATCATCTATTGGCATATTCTCCTTCCATTACACATTTATCATATTACATTGTTGCGTCATCATGGGATAAAGATAAACTATTAAATTAGATCTACTAAGTGCTGCACTTTGATATAGAAAAAGCTAAATAAAACTATAATTTAAACACATTAACAACTATACTTTTTCTGGAATTCAATGAAAGTAATTACTCGAAGTGCTTGCTCTAGCTGGTTGCTAAATTCTAAGATAATCTTCTAAATAAGCAAATAACCCACTTTACTAGTTATAGCCATTTTTATTGGTCTAGGACAAAAAAGTATAAAGAAACATAAAAAGTTTGTAAGAAAAGATTAAATAGCAACTATTATTAACACGTGGTTATATTTTCTATTTCCTTACCAACAACTTGTGTTTAAATTCAGAAAATTTTAATTAATATAAATATTATCTAGTCCTATTTATTAAAAAAATTATTTATTAAATTTATTGAATATAACACAATAAATTTTAGGTTAATTTATACCGTATTAAAAAAATTTAAATCTCACATAAATTAAAAATACAATCTACAGAAAAATTTATATAAAATGATACTTCTCATTTTATCATATCAGTTTTGTACGATTGAGTTAGTACTACGTAGAGATAAAAGGAGGATTGGTGGGAATCCACTATCTATCAAAAACAAGCACCTTCTATGCGCACTAAAATGAAAGTGCATGATGCCACATTTTGAATCACTACAAAACTAACACACACCTCATTCTAATGTGGGTCCATCCATATTCTTCTCCCATAACCAACCCAACACAACTCCTCAACTCACTCAAACCCCATCATTGCCATCACTAAATTACTTCCCACTCTTTCTTTCTTCACCAACATGTCTCATTCACACTATTCCTTGGTCTAAAAGTTAAACCATGTGTTTTAATATTGGACGTGAAAAAAAAATACTAGAGAAAAAAAGAAAGTTCTAGTTTTTTTATGAGGTGTTTGTAAAAGGAGGAGATAGCTATATAGTGCAAAGTTCAAAGGTTTTTTTGGATTTTGTGTGTAATGGGTAATTGTTGGTATAGGGAATCGTCAGATTATAGAGTCTCATCCAATGCAAAACCAGGTTGGTTTTCACAAAAACTAAAAAGTTACTTTTTGTTCTTCTTTATTTTGAATATTTTCTATGATTTTTAGTAATTATAGTTTATCATTTTTGGTGTGTTTTCTTAGAGCTTTTTTTAGATACTATGTTTCTCTCCTTCTGGAATTTTTTTCTCTAGAAAATATATCCTGCAAATCATTGGAAAAAGAGAACTAGAAATAGAAATCTGCTTATAAGAGTTAGATGTTGTTTTAAAATCTTTGAAACTTTTCTAATGTTGCTTCAAGATAGAAGCTGTTAGTTAGCATGAAGTAATCACTTTTTTTCCCTATGTCTACTTCAAAAGTTTGTCGGCATGTAGTTGTTTTATTCTTAAGTTTTAACTTTAGTATAATAACTTTTTATCAAAAAATGGTGGTAGGTTTCAAAATTATAATTGGTTGCTTCACATTTAAACTATGTTCTCATTATCACACCTTCTTTAGCTCATTTTACCTTTGGTAACTCTTTGATTCTTAGAATTCTACACTCAGTCTCAAATTTTTGAAAGTTCTGTATAAATTAGTCGTAATTTAATTGTGACAAAATAACTATAGACATTAATTAGCCCCTATGTGATACTCAGTTCAACACGCTCTAGCCGTGCCAATGGGTTGGCCGGTCAGCGAAGATTTGAGATCTAAGAGTGTACTCTTCTTGTATAGAGCAAGTGGACGATGATATAGGTTTCGTGGATTAGTCATGAATGCATAGGAATTTTCACTTGTTTTTTAGAATAAATGGATAGGAATTTACATGTGAATATGTTAGATTTGTTCTTATTAGTTTCTCATTTTGGTTGATGAAAAGAACAAAACCAGGTGACAATGAAAGAAAGATACGAACACGATGATAGTAAGCTACCATCAAATCCTAAAGAAGTTGAAGATCTCCGACGCGATTCAGCTGCGAATCCATTGATTGCATTCACTTACGAAGAACTAAAGATAATAACTGGACATTTTAGACCAGACCGCGTGTTAGGTGGTGGTGGATTTGGAAGTGTTTATAAAGGTTTTATTTCTGAGGAGTTAAGGGAAGGTCTTCCTTCTATTCCTGTAGCTGTTAAGGTTCATGATGGAGACAATAGTCATCAAGGTCACAGAGAATGGCTGGTATGTTATCTGTATTAATTTGTCTCTACATTATGTAACAAAAAAAACATTTAGATTAATTGTGATTTGTTTGGTTTGTTTGTAGGCAGAAGTGATATTTTTGGGGGAATGTTCGCATCCAAATTTAGTGAAATTAATTGGATACTGCTGTGAAAATGAACATAGGGTTCTAGTTTATGAGTACATGGCTAGAGGAAGTGTGGAAAACAATTTGTTCTCAAGTAAGTACTAGTATGTCACCAGGGTTCGAACTCTGGTGATAACATTCAACTTTACGTTATTGACTACTGTCTGTTGAATTAGGAGTTATAGATCTGTAAAATTATTCTTTTGATATCAAAGTTTAGTAATGGAATATGTTACTAAGGTGGTGATGCATGCATATAGTATTATATAATTATGGATTAGGGAATTTAAACAATGTTTAGGAAAACTTAATTTTTGTCTCCGACAATATTGACACTGGTAAAAGAGAGTATATATAAAGTGACTTTGGTCTTTTTGTCTGGTGGATCCTACAACCTAATCAATCATGATTATTATATGATTAAGAATATGTTCTTTATAATAACACTACTAAGTTCTAATCAGGAGAGAATCTAAATTTTCACAAGTACAACATTAGTATGTTTGACATTAAGGAAGCTAAAAAAAAGGGATTCTTTAGTTATGCTAAGTTTACTGTTTTCATTATAATATCTAATGTGACATTTATTTGTATAATGCAGAAATTTTGCTTCCTTTGCCATGGTCCATAAGAATGAAGATTGCGTTCGGTGCTGCAAAAGGACTTGCATTTCTTCATGAAGCCGAAAAACCTGTCATCTATCGCGATTTCAAGACATCTAATATTTTATTGGATCTGGTCAGCACACTTAAAGATTTTTTTCAAATACTATCAAAATTGAAACCATGTTATTTCTTTTGAAATCATACATTTTTCTTTCTATGTTTCACTGATAGGACTATAATGCAAAGCTTTCTGACTTTGGCCTTGCTAAAGATGGACCAGTTGGAGACAAGTCTCATGTTTCTACTAGAATAATGGGAACGTATGGATATGCTGCACCAGAATACATTATGACAGGTAACACCGATATTTCAGAATAAAAACTTCTTCGGTGTCTGACATGTATCAAGGCCTGACATTGTTACTTGATTACGTTTAATTTATTTATTTTTAAAATTGTTACCGACATCATGTATCAGTGCCAGTGTCATGTTTGTCTCAATATTTTATATCATGATATTGTACATGGTGCAGGTCATTTGACTCCTAGGAGTGATGTTTATAGTTTTGGTGTTGTTCTTCTTGAGCTTTTGACTGGAAGAAAATCTTTAGACAAACAAAGACCAGCTAGAGAGCAAAACCTAACAGAATGGGCTCTTCCTTTGCTAAAAGAAAAGAAGAAAGTGTTAAGTATTATAGATGCAAGACTAGAAGGTAATTATCCAATAAAAGGGGCTCATAAGGCTGCAATGCTTGCATATCATTGTTTGAACAAGAATCCAAAAGCAAGGCCTCTAATGAGAGATATTGTTGATTCATTGGAGCCTTTGACAACATATAGTGAGCTCCCTATTGAAAAAACATTTACTATAATCACTGAGGTTGCTGAAACTGATGTTAAAAAGAAAGAGGCAAAATGACTTAGAGCAAAAAGAATATTGTTGTTACTTGTTAGATTACATAAGTTTTACTTCTCATGTTTATAGGAGCTTTTGCCTTACCTCTATATCTACTGAGCATTAACTCCGATACGGATATCTGCATACGACACGGTAATATTCAAAATATAGGATAACGACACTGATATATGTATATAATTAATATTTGATCTTCATTCACACATCTATTATTAAAAAAGTTAAAATGTTTTTTAAATTTTTTATTGATAATATTATTTTCACATATATTTAATCTTTTTAAAAATATGTGAGATTTGTCTAAAAATGGTAAGTGAGTATTGAAATAAAATAAAATATTTATTAAAAATATTTTTATGAACTGTTCTGACGATAGTTCATAACAATATATATATATATATATATATATATATATATATATATATATATATATATATATATATATATATATTGGCGGAGTCAGAAAAATTCTAAAGCCTGGACAAAAATTCAAATACCGCAAATCCATATTGTATATAATAGCATGTACTCCTATTTATTTCAACTATCATTCTTTGAAGACCGCAAATCCACATTGTATTATAATCCGCAAGAGTGTAATGGATTGATAATATAAAATTGATTTTCACTTTAAATCTCAATAATTATATATGCCTACTATTTTAAAATAAAATAAATTAGAGTTATCTATAGAAGACTTACTTGGTAACCTCCAAAACAACTTAAACTGCTTTTACGTAGATCCGCATCGTACCATGCTCCTCTTTTAGCTTCAATGAAAGGCCACATGATATCTGCATCGTACTTGTGTTTTGAACCTATGGATTAATATATGAATACACAACATGTTAATGCTTTTCAAATGGCAGCATTGGATCAACAGTATACCTTTCAACCAATTTCCACAAAAACAGTGAACTAAAACTTTATAGCAAACACATAGAATCATAAATCAGAATTCTCAGTAACATATACCATATGTAACTAGACAAGTTGAGAGGAAAAAATTGAATTCTGATTTAACCTCGAGTCTCAACTCAACTTGTTTCCAAGTGAAACTTCAGAAAAACAATTTAAAATCAAAAATATATATAGAACATATGTTTTAACATGAGCCAATAAAAGAAGAATTGCATACAGATAGGTATTGCCAATTCAGATGTGTAAATTGAGAAAATGAGTGTTGGTCAGGAGATATTTGCATTTTGCAAAGACTGGCATGCCACTGTGCCTATAGATGTACGCATTACATGGTCACCTAGCATCGTCGTACAAGAAACACCTGCCTTAAGATGAGGTTGCACCAGTTCCCATATCTTTTTCTTTTATATCTGCATGTTTATTACACAAGAATGTTATGGCAATACAAGAGAATAAACCACACAAAATATCAAAGTTAAGAGAGGAAGAACATGTATAAAGTTTACAATCAAACAATAAAGTTGAGTTATTGCCTGATTCGGTTTGGCAGCTTCAGGTTGATTGTCCTTTTCATCTTCAGATCAAACCATATTCTTTCACCAGGATTTGCTTCCTCGGGAGGGAACAGAAGTTCAACATTCTCATGCTTTGAATCAAAAGCAGCCATCAACCAATTTATAACAACAATTCAGCCTCGTAAGAAACAAAAACGAAAAAAAGAAAAGAAACTTGGTTGAGGCAATTTACCAAACACTTAGTGTGCAACTTGCAAAACAGTGGAAACAACAACAATTTGATACTGATTCATAAACCACAACCTGCAACAACAACAACAATCCACAACAAAAACAATAATTCAACATCATGAAGTGAAAGATTTGAAGCGAAAATAGACGAAAAATTGGTTAAAGCATTCTATCGAACACCTTGTGAGCAAGACTAAAAGCTGTATTTTTCTGCATTCCACTGGCTCCGCCACCGAATTCATAATTTTCTACCAAGGCAGGACAATGCTAATCCCAAAGGAATTATTTCCTTGAATTAAAATTGCATCTTCAACTTGTAAGATTTTAAATTCTATAGTATATACACGTTCCATTATCTCAGGTGTGCTCACAACTTGTCGTCTTGTTCATTGTGTCGAGGCGGTCGAGCCTGGACACATGCCCTACTTGGCCGGGCGCTGGCTCCGCCCCTATATATATATCGAACTCATTTAAAAATTATCATAACAAAAAAAAATTTAAGCACACTTTTATATTTGACTTTTCTAACATAAATTGTTAAGTGTTATATAAATGTCGGACATGCCTGCGCTATTGTGGAAGAGTAGAGTTATTTAGGTTTGTATTAAGAATTGTGTTTATTAAGATGACGTATATTAGCCATCTTTTCCTTTTATTTTAATCGGCTAGTATCTTTGTAGTAAATTGAGAAAACAGTTCTTCTTATTTATCTTAAAATAAAAGTCTTTTTAATCAAAAAAATTTATCTTAAAATACGATTTTTTTTTACGTTTTTAATACAACAATAATTAATTTTTATCAACTTTACTTCTATTAAATATTGTCTACACAACTTTCAAGATATTACATTACATTATATTTTTATGACAATTAATAGTAATGAAGGACAATTTTGTAAAATTGTTGCAATTAATTATTCAATTATTATTTTTCTTAATTTATATACAACAACTTTAAAAAACATATATTTTGAAATAGAGGAAGTAATTACTTTATCTATTTTTTAATAGATTTTTATCAGTAAAAGTGGTAGAACATCAAGTCGGTTTGGTAAAGAAGTTTGCTCAATTTTACCTACATAGCATAATTATTTTCAATTATCAATGAAAAAAGCGCCCCACACCTCTAAAAACAAAAAATATACGTTATTATATATAGTAATGCATCTTTTGACGCATCTAAAATCACATCAATCTTTATAATTCAGGCACACGAACTCATTTTGTCAAAATATGGCCTAGAGACGCATCTCTGAATATTATTTGGATTGTGTTCGGAGATGCTTCTCTGAATATTATTTTGAGCTGGCACCCTGCAATAGTCCTCTGGTATCAAATGACTCTCGAGATCCTCAAGTATGACATCAAGATCTTTGTGACAGACAGTGGAAGATGCAGACTCTAAGGGGTGTCTCTAAGTAACATGCAAATAGTCAAATTGGCGTATCACTCGCTCGGGTAGATACACATGCATCAAACCTAGCTCCACAAGCCAACTATCCGGAGTATAACAAAATGACTTCCAGTTGACATGTCTAGCGGTGCTCGACATATGGGCAGAAGGCAATGTCATCTGCTACCTGGTAGTCAAGATACACCCGTAATGACTCGATCGTCTGATTCCTTCTAAGCAAGGCAAAAACAGCAGCACGTGGCCAATCCTCAATGTAGTCAGGTACATGTTCCCACCCGAAAATGCGAGGAAATTGGGAGATGACATATCCCTGAAAATGGTTAAGATAAAATATTAGTAAATAGAGTAACAAAAGAGTTATGAAAATATTAGTAAGCAGCGTGCAACTTCTTGTCAAGTGTTTTGTCTTCTAAAAACGACCCTCACCCAGCTTCGAGTACAGGTAGACCAAACAAGCGACCCTCGGTTGTACTCGTGAACCGTCGTCAAGTCGATGAAGTATTTTAAGTAGACCACATCGACGTAGATTTCATTTTTATCGACAAACATAAACGTATCAACCAGGAACAAGAGGTAACACCTCAATACACATTGTCGGTGGTACTCAACTTACATATCATCATTATCGACATCCACAACCATTTGGAGGTGGTCTTTACAAAGTTCTTCCAAGATTTTAAATCTAGCATGAGCACCTTTGGTGTGAGCTACCTCATTTGCAGCCTCAGTTGGGTAAGCTCATAAATAAGTGACCATCATCTCACTAGCTTCCTCTCGATTGAGCTGTATGTGGTCCAGTCATTTTTCCCTATTAGAAAGATATATGAGTTATGAGACGTCATCCAGGATAATGGTTATCTCACCAGAAGGAGGGTGGAAAGATGACGTCTCTTAATGTCATCTCTCTGCAAATACCACGTGAATGTCGTGGTTTATGGTCTTGTACGCAGCTGTATGTAAATCAGCAAGCTTAGAGTAGCGAATAACATTCCTAAACTAGTCATCTTCGAGTTATTCTAAATCCAAGATCTTTCTTCCGTGGTTTACAGATTTTAAATATTGATGCTCATGTAAAAAAAAATATCATCATTAGTAGCGATTAAATTAGTATAAACATATGTAATAACAAATATAATGTAAAAGTCACTGCTATATAGAGACCCTTTCACCACGGTTCGAAAATGGATATATTAACGGTTAACTAACTGTGGTTAGGTAGGGTGTGTTTGTAAGTATGTTGTTTTCCACCACGGGCGTCTGACCCTAGTGATAAACTAGGTATCGCGCTACCTATCACAAAGATTATATTAAATAATCGTTGTTGTGTGTGTGTGTGTGTGTGTGCATGTGCGCGTGCGTGCATGTGTGTGTGTGTGTGTGCGCGCGCGCGCGTGTACGTGTGTGTGTGTGTGTATGGTGTGTTTGTTTGTGTGTGTGTGTGCGCGCATGTACGTGTGTGTGTGTGTGTGTGTGTGTGTGTGTGTGTGTGTGTGTGTGTGTGTTTGTGTGTGTGTGTCATGGGTTTGAAACCCAGCAGCAACAATTTAATTAAAGCGCGAATAACATTAATATTTTACCACACTTATATATTCCAATTGTGATGGTATATATACAAGAGTTTATTATAAAAAAAAATGTGGATTAATTATTTTTTCTTACCCGTCAATCAACATATACAGCCATTCAATTTGATTTAGAAGATAATAATCTAAAAAATTAAATTATTATTGAAAAATAACTTAGACGATCCACCGTTTTTTTAATTGCATATATCTTTTAATTCATACATTGCTTTTTAACATATAGAATTTGGTCAATGCCTCAAGTTCTTCAAAGATATAGTTCCTTCTCTTCTAGTTTATTTTGAAAAGCATCAATTTGTTGACTAATTTGGAATCGTCGTCATCACTATGGTCATCATTG